GTGACACTTAGCTATTGAACTTTATTTATTATTAATTAAAAAAATTATTGTATGTTATAAAGTATATTTACAAATAATTGCTAAGTTTCACAATTCAATTGGGCCACAGACCCATTTACAAAAGAAAGGAGAAAAAAACACAGAAATTTGATCCTTCAAAGTTGGGGCCATTAGATAAGAATACAGAGGGGCAATAAATAATGACAAAACTCTCAACTCAGTGGACGTGTTAATGGGAGACATACCGTTAATAGTGATTTACTAGCTGATAAGCCCTTACTGAGATTCAGCAGGCTGGAAGGGTTTCTGCGTAGGACTGTGTAGTAGAAGAGAGATTCAGCGGGAAGAGTTAATAAGTGTTATGTAAAATTTATAGTGTCAGCGTGTACAAGAATAATGTAAAAGAACACTGAATTACTGATTCGAACTAATAAGCTAAACATAACAAACAATGAGACATAGCTATCAGAAGTACATGATGGTGATCGATTAGTGCTTGGGAAATAGTTAATTAATCAGGTACATATACTCACCATTTTTATGTTTACATTCATCGTACTATTTTCATGTTTGTATTTGTTTTAAGCATCACATAATTTTCACCGTCATTGCATAAGAGTTATTTGGCGGTTATTAACTATTCTTTAAGCTTAGGCACCTCTCTTTTATTGTCATGTACTTGTGTGCCATGCATTTTAATTAATAAACATAACATCTAAAGTGTGAATGTAATTTAAATTGTTGTAACTTTAACATTTTTACAATTTTATATTTATAGTAACTTACACACAAATTCTTAGAATTTGAAACAAGCATAATAAATTTACGCACGTTATAAGACTTTATAAAATATTAATAAGTTTTTTTGTCAATATTTGTTTTTCTTGCATAGAATGATCATTTAATGTTGTTTTGACTCGTTCAAATTTGTCTATAAATAAACAGTAACATACCAACGTTTCAAGCTTAGATGAAAAAAATATTAAAGTTATATATTGTTCATTAAATTACATACATAAAATTACATATACTTGAAAACCCCGTTATGCTTAAAGTGTAAGTCAATGTATTCGTACGACTCATATCATATACAAATTAGAGAGTTTCAGATTGAGTATGCGATACATGCATATTTTGTCTGTCCTAAAGCGAGTAATAACTTTCCTATAAAATACACACAAACATGTGTTTCATTTTGTATCAGGCAATTGATCGTTTAAAACTTTTGAATTAATCTATGACTTTGATATTTTAAGGAACAAATTTGATGTGGAAAAAATGCAAATGAAATTGTTTATTTTATTTTACAGATTAGAGAAGAAAGGAAAAAGTGATTTGATATTCAACAAATCAATAAAACGTATACTGGATATTAATATAAAACGGCGTTATATATTATATGAATTAGTTACCATAAAATATGGATAAAAAACGGTTGTTTAGACAAGTGTTGCATCGGAACAAACGCAAACATTTTGAATGCGCGATGAAAACATCAGACATAAACATTTAACATGGAAGTTGCTGAAGTGATAAATTATTGGTATTCTCAATTTATCATGTTTCAACTATCGTTTTATTTTTGTTTTATTTTTGTTTTTCTTTACAGAAAGTAAGTTATTTGATTCCGCAAAAATATATTCAGAAAAATGTATAAATATTATGTCTTGCATTGTCAGTGCTTTGTGTTTTGTGTAATATAATATTACACATATCTGGTTTTTTATAATCTTTGGAATTTACAATTAAAGGCACATCGCTGTAAGTTTCATTTCTCAAAACCTTTTTTTAAGTTTTAAGTTTGGTATCCTGTTACAGTTTCTTAAAAGTGGTACGATCTCATTTTCTATATAGAATAATTTGCGATTGATATAATTATTGTAAATAAGTATTTCGTGTAGAAGTTAAAATACTACATAATTTACATTTTGCTACCTTTACGACATATTACTGAACATTCAGCGATACTTTCCTCATCTCTTAAACATCTTACATTCACTTAATCTTTGATTAAACCAATAGTGAATACATGTTTGACATTTCTAAACATTTTAATTATTATGGATTTCTGCGACAGATTGTGCCTTTAACCTTTTTAACATTTAGACATCCAAAAGCTTTCTTTGATACACATATATTTCTTATTATGTTAATTATATGCAAATTAATTTTTATTTTTATGTCTGATTTTCAATAATCAGTTAGAAAAATAGAGATGAGATCGAATTCTCCAACAATAATGTCAGTTATTTGTATTATATTCCATGAATGTTCAGTCTTAATTTTCGTTTGTTGCAGTAACAATGCATGGAATCTTATGATAAAAAAATATAAGCCCTTTATATGCAGAAATGTTATTGCAAGTGAAAAGGTTTTTCTTTTTTGTTTTTGTTGTTTTTTTTTAAGAAGCAACAACAACAACAATAAAATAGAAAAAAAAACGACAGGGGAAAAAACGATCCAAAAGAAACATATCATTGAAAATACTTCTGAATATAAATAGTATTATAATTGTTATATCAAAGCAACCTCTTTACCACTGCCAAACATTTTTGAGATACTTTTGTTTTTTGATGACAAAAATATTTTCATTTTCAGTTATGTATTCATATTGTCTCTTTTGTTTGTATTTATTTAAGTTTAACTGAGCTAATAATAGTTACCATAAGGTAGGCAAGGTATATTATACTATACTATTTTTAAAAACGCATTATTTGTTTTAATGAAATTCCTAAATATGTTGTAGAACTTCTCACAAATTGTGTAACTAATCAACACAATGTTCAACTTGTGTTATTTCCGCGTTATGCGGTTGGACTGTTAGTGCTTCAGTGTATTTATTGACTACTAGCGAAATGATAAATGTGGAATCGACTGTCTGTAAAATGGACATTATTTTACAACTAGAGTTTGTACGATAGCTGATAAGATTTACTACTTCTTTGAGTAAAGATATTTTAGAACATTGAATTGGCACTTTTGGAACATACATGCAAAGCAGACAGCGATGTATTATTTGTCCGCATAAACTTGAATATTATTTCAAAAGAATTAACAGATGAAGATGTGCCAATATATAACCATAAAAATATAACTTTGGTTGAATGAGTTTTGCATTTCCTTGAACATAAAATTTAGCTATTTACTCAGCATACAAACAATAGATTTTCATGACAGCAATTAATCACATCATTGCATATATAAATGATAATGATATACCGCATTTGTATTACATTTTTACCATTTTATGTTTTTATCACTTTTCAATCAACTTATGTTAAATCAATGAATTATATATATATATATATATATTTATTCATTCATTCATAAATTTATTTAATTATTTATTTATCTATTTGCTTATTTTTTCATCCCTTTATTCATTTATTTGTTTATTTATCAGTTATTAAAAAAGAAAAGTAAAATCTTCCTATCATTAAATGCTATACGGTGCTTATCTTTCACCTATTTGCCACTTCAAACAACTTTTCTATGCCCATACTGAAGTAATAAGTAATTTCAAATCCCGGTATATGTAACAGTTATATTATATTGGTAAAGCACAATTTTTTTATCTGATCTTTTCATGAAGACTTCAAGGCATATAAGTTAAATGAGACAATAGTAAATGTTAGTTACTTTTAGTATGATTTTAAATTTAAAATAACTGACATAAACTTATTTTTCTCATTTCAATTATCACCCGGGCAAATAAAAAAAAGAATAAGATGAGAAAAGATTGAAGTCATATATATATATATATATGAACTGTGAAGTTTATTATTATTATTATTATAATTATAATAATAATTATTATTATTATTATTATTATTATTGGTATTCATTTTTCTAGAGCTTAGCTATTTGACATTAAACATCTCCTAATGGATGTCTACCAAGTTTGCGAAAATAAATGCCCTAAGGTTAAAATTTGCCCGGCCCCAGGAGTCATTGATTTTCCTCATATGTATAAACAAATAACTATAAAAAAATTTTGTGAAAATCCAAAAGAGCTGCAGCTTAGATATTTGGCATGAAACATCTTCTGAAGGATGTCTACCTAGTTTTTTCAAATTAAAACCCTAGGATCAAAATTGGCTTAACCCCAGGGGTCATTGATTTTCCTGATATATACATGTATATAGTAAAAACATTAAATCTTCTTGTGAGAATCCAACAGAACCAGAGCTTAGATATTTGTCATAAAACATCTTCTAGTGTATGTTTGTCTAATTTGTTTAAGTAAAAGCCCTAGGGTCAAAATTGGTCCTGCCCAGGTGTCATTGATTTGCCTTTATGTAAATAGTAAAAACTTCAAAAATCTCCTTGTGGAAATCAAAAAAGATGTAGAGCTAAGATATTTGGCATGAAATATGTTCTAGTGTATGTCTACCATGCTTATTGAAATAAAACCCCTATGGTTAAAATTGGCTCTACCCCAGGGGATCGAGGTCGACAGTTCAATCTCCAGCTAGGTCAAATGTTTGTTTTCCTTCTCTTTTTCCGTCATCTTTTTATTAGCTCACTCCCACGATGACAGGATTAACTGTTTGATAACTTGGCTGCCAGAGCTCAAATTAGAAAATAAGATCTAAACAACATCTCAGCCATTGGTTCAATTTTGAAAAAAAAATTACACAAACATTTTCTTGGCGACAGTGTACAATAATTATTCAGATTAAACTGTCCCTTGTTGTTCTAATTGTGCTTTTGAGGTGACAAGGTATTCCACTTTGACCGTTTGACCTACTCTCAGGTGACCGATCCAAGGCCTTGTCGGTCCTCTTGTTTGTTTTTCGTTATATCTTTAATCAAATTTTAAACTGAAGTAAAGATAAAACTGATGTCTGTTTTAATGTACAGTTATCAAATCAGTGATTTTGGCGGCGTGTGTAAAGTTTACCGGGTGTAAACAATCGATATAACATTTTATTTGGTAATTTATCACTAGCGTTATAATATCATGTAGGCGAGATAGTGTTGTGGATATTAATACGGTTGCTATAATATCATGCACCATTTTATTCAAATTTTAAATCATCTTTTTTAAATTTTAAGTTGAAACTCGTGTACATATGGAATAACCTATTGCAGTTAATATTTTGGCGAACGGCTAAATCGAAAGTAATTGAAGTAAGTGTGCAGCCTATACTATGTCTTCAAAATTAATATGATAACATACTTACGTACATTTTTAATTCCTTTTTTACTTTGCCTAACACGTATAATAATAATAATAATAATAATAATAATAATATCTTTATTTAAAGAAAGTTACACATTAAGAACATACAATAACAATCATATATATCTTATTTCCAATGTGGCCTTCTGAAATAGAAAACAACAACAACAACAACAACAGGATATGCATAGGTAGAAAAACGAGTGTATAATATGTAATTTTTAGAATAACTCAACTCATATACTTTCGACAGACACTCAAAGGAAATATGGCGATGGTGACTTTCAAGTTTTACTGATGGAGAAGACCTGTCACTTCGTACATCATTACAGGCACATTTGAAATTGAAAATAAAATGAGATCGCTTTTACCCAAACCCTTATTTTTATATTTGTATGCACTCGGGTGTGATGTAACAGATGACCACAACCTTAACCCCCACCTCATTAGAGATAAATAAAGTAAAATTAAACATTAAAAAATCAAGGGATCAAGGCATGGCCTCTACATACGAAATATCCATCATTGCCATTACTCAAGACAATCCATGTTATCCATAGACTTTTAACATCAAGGTATAAGCACCTTAATACGCTCTACCTGAAAAAACACAACACTTGTATATCATTTATATCGTATAAGCGTCATGATGCCGTGGCGCAAATAGCAAATATTTACTTTTGGACACATAAAATACTGTCGAAGTATTATAATTTAATTATATTCTATTAAATGGCACCTTCACAATACATAAAGAAGACGATATAAATTGCCGTAAGATTTACTGTCAAAATCATTGTAACTAAAAGTATGTTTAGCTAGTTTAAAAGTGCTTTCATATTCAATTTCCACCTTAACATAATTATGTTTGCATCATGTCGAGCTTAATAGTTTAACCTCACTAATACAACTGTGATCTCAGAAACATATATCGCCATCAGTCATAAGTCATAGAATAAAAGTATTTTACACATTTACCAAACGTCTTGTAATTTGTGTACTCACTTTGTCTTAGCTACTGGAGACAGAGGTTATGACTTTTATATAAACGTGTTTTCCTTATTAACAATAATCCAAATTTATCATTATTACATGAATCTTGTATCAATTGTAAGAAAAAGAAGAATTTAATAAACCTGTTACACAAATATTTATCAAATCATTTATATTATTCAAATTATTTGATGAGTTGTATGTAATTGAAAAAATTACATTTTTTATTTAAATGACGTATAATAATAATAATAATAATAATAATAATAATAATAATAATATCTTTATTTAAAGAAAGTTACACATTAAGAACATACAATAACAATCATATATATCTTATTTCCAATGTGGCCTTCTGAAATAGAAAACAACAACAACAACAACAACAACAGGATATGCATAGGTAGAAAAACGAGTGTATAATATGTAATTTTTAGAATAACTCAACTCATATACTTTCGACAGACACTCAACAATTTGTTTAAACATATACGTATATTGCATCATTCGTTCGTTTGTATATATTTATTCATTCATTCATTCACTCATTCATTCACTCATATGAACATCAAGATATGCTTTGTATTTTTCTTTAAAACATTTAAGGTTATTAACATTACGAATATATAAAGGTATATTGTTCCAAATGTTCTTGCCATAATAAGAAAATGTGTCTTTGATATAATTTGTTTTAGGTCTTGTCCATAATACAATATCTTTTCGTGACCTAGATCTTAAGTTATATATTTTGTTGTCGGATAAAGTCATCAGTTCTGTCATATAAGTCGGTGCCATGTTATTTAAAGTTTTAAAAATAAGCACCGCCGTGTGGTATTTACATCTGTCAAGGAACGGTAACCAATTAATATGATGTATGTTATCAGTTTTTAATACTGAATAAGTTCGTGACCTTAAAATGTTGAATTTGAAACGTGATAACTTCGGCTATAGATCTTTGGCACAAAATACAGGCAAATTTAGCACTTGTTATATATTACTGATACATTTATATCAACAATTTTAGTTAAAAAATAAAACAATTCAAAAATATATTTCCAATTTTATACTGTTATATGACATGTTTGTTGGTGTCCCTTGTTTTTTTCTTGTCTACGGTAAGTATATTCTCTTCTGCCCCTTGTTTTATTTTATTTCTTTTTTCAATTTTCCCTCTCCCTTCCCGAATCTCGAGTCCCCTTTCTCTGTGCCCCTTTACTTCGTGGGCCTATTAATTAATCAATTATTTGCTTCTCGGTTACTTTAATTTATTTTGAGTATTATTAAAGAGATACTACTGTTCGCACTCTGTCTGGTGTCCTGTCCTGTTTGTGGTTCTCCAGGGCTTCTTGTCACTGGTGCTTTTTTGCTGAGTCGTGTGGGTGTTGCGTGAACGCCGCTTTTCCGTGTTGATCTTGTTTATCATATTTTACGTTTAATCCAACTGTTATAAATTATCATGATTCCAATCCTTTTTTTGTCATTTTGACATGTATGTTAAATAGTCTTTAAATGAAATTTATATTCCTTTTCTTTATAAATTCATGCCGTTGTATTTGTTATGATGTCTAATGGGAATGTTAACGAAGATAAAAAAAGTAAAAACAAAACTGATGAATGTGTTTTATGATGTTCGAAAATAAAATAAATGACCGGCTTGTTCAGATAAACAAGTTTCTTTTTAAGTTTGGTGTCACCATGGTTTATGCTTAAACATAACTCTTATAAGTGTGACTAGAACTGTTTATTAAAATAAATAAACATCTTTTTGTGTTTTACATACATAATTATAACAATCTAGAACACATGTTTGCCATTTCTACCTTAACAAAATAATTTCTGAGATCTGATGTCTTTTAGATGATATTAACTGAAATATAGCAATTATTATAAAACAGATTTGATATATACACCCTTTATGTATAAGCCAACTTTATGCTGTAAAACAATTAGTTGCATAATTACCTATATAAAAATCATTGTCTAGATTAAAGATGGTATGAGCAACAATATAACATGAATTGAATGTAACACAGTATAATACAAATTTGTCTTATGTATTACTCTAGAATGTTCCACACGCCTGAATACAGTAAGAGACTGTCAATGGAGTTATCCCAGGTTTTTGAGGATATTGGAGTAAATGAGGAGATGGTGATAAAAATAAGAAGAGCGTTCATCCTTATAGAGAGTATCGAAAACGTTTCAAATGGTAACCATTGTACAGTATATTACTTTGGTAGTAAATCTGAAGGAACAACTACACTAGGTCTTCGTTCAGATGTTGACACGATTATTGTATGTCATGTGGATAATGTTCTTCAGGAGTTGTCAGAATCGAGAAACAATAAGAAAAATTATCTCATGATACAAGACGAGAATGTAACGCCAGGGAATTGTTTTCTACAACGGCTAAGATATGATTTTCCTTACCCTGTGACAACCATTCCAAATGATGATTTCTTCCGTGATAAGAATGGTAGGATATTATTGAAGAATACAGTAAGGAGTAGAATAATTCGTGAAAATTCTGAGCGACACGGGCCATCAGAAGCTTTAGCTGGTCGAGAGGGTTACAGTGATACGGATCTCTTTTGCTTTTCCTTGTTTATCATGGCCAAAATCTGCATATCACTTTCTAGAACAACGAGAAACAAAGAAGTGGCTATCAAATGAAATGACAAGATTTGCTACTAGCAATGGGTGTTTTGTTATTGGTGCTTCCAGCAAGATAGCTGTCCATTCAAATCTAGGATGGAGAATTTCTACATCTTTCGCAGAAAAATGTTTCATGTTCAATTTAAATTTAACACAATTACAGTGTTATGTTTTATTGAAAGTAATATTGAAAACTTTTCTTAATGCTAGCAAAACAAATGAATTATCAAGTTATATGTGTAAGACCGTATTACTACGATGCATAATGCATAACGAACAACATCTTTGGAATCGTGAAAATCTGTTTGAATGTTTAGAATTATGTCTTAATAATTTATATGATTGTGTCTAAAACGAAAGGTGTCCACATTTGATTATTCCTGAAAACAACTTGATGGCAGGAAAATTTACAATGGAAACAAAACAGGATATTTTAAAGAATATAATGTGTTTTTTGAAGGATAATAAACATTTATTCAAAATACATATTGATGACATAGGTCATAGACTTCAAGTTAAATTGAATAATATTCCCCAATTAGCTTATTAATTGTCAACTCCACTGGATATATTTCATATATGCTCGACTCTGCTTTACCGATACATATCGTATGATATTAGCTATAAATTGCTATGTATCTTGAACTTTAATAAAGACATAATAGCATGCAAAAATGCTGTTTTAGATTTAAAATGTAGTTTAAGTAGAAGCCGAAGCGAAATTGAACTGGTGTCAAGTAAATATCTCGTACCATTTCTTTGTTCGTCGCTTGGATCGATGCTTGTGTCATCAAACATTGGACAAAATAGTTCAGTGCCATTCAAAACAATGCGTTTGTTCGATTTAGGATTAAACTCAGATGTCACATCTGGCAGACTAAAGCTAGAATCAGTGTTCTATTCAACAAATGATATGAATAGAGCAGAGGACATTCTGCGGTATACAGAAGAACGGTATGACACTGACGTTGTTGAACCATTATGCGCCTGCTGGCCGCATGGACATCAATATCCATTATTGGAATTTATGAGAAAATACAGTAGACAAAATGAAGATTGTTTCAACAAGATCACATCATATTGCATCAGATTCGCAAGGAGTGAAATGAACTGTGTTCCACGAGAGTTACAGTATGAAATGTGGAGATCAACACGAGATGACATCCCATTTAGGAGTATGTATGAAAAAAAATGGATGGACTTTGCCGTGGTTGATTTACTCCCTTATATTTATTTTCTACAGTACAAGACATATGGTAATTTACAAAGACGACAAGATCAACAATTGGCTCTCATTGGCCTTGCAATCACTATTCACGTCAGTGCAAACTTTGGTCATAGAGAGACGGCTTTGAACCTACTCGGCCAGTGTATGGAACAGGAGTCTAGACTGGTTGAGGCATTACACTATTACTTGATGTCTCTGAAACAAAGACAAAAAACAATGCAGCAAAATGGCATATTTTTATTGCACTAGCAAAGAATTTCTCTCACGTGTAATTTGTTGCGTAGACATTTGAAAGCTTATATATACAAAAATTAATAGATGTGAAAATATTCATGGGCATGTCAAAGGATTAAATGAAAACAAAGAAATATTAATATGTAACTTTTGTAAAGATCTACTAGGGACAGGATTTTTTAATTGTTAATTCAGAAACTCCATCATAGCAACAAAGTGGTCAGGAAGCATCCCCAGTGTTTCACACAATCACAGAAATAATATATATGGATGGAAATGGTATACTGATAGTTAGTTTGTGTTAGTTTGGGAAACATTTAAGTAAAGCAAGATGTTAGAATTGTTCATTAAACATATTTTGTAAAACAATCCAATTGATCATTACTTTCTTTGATACTGTAATGCCATTTGCCTTTAGAATGACGGACAATTTTATGAACACTATAGGAAGGTTCTAAGTATGAATACAATTGTCAATTTTAGTGTGATTTCAGAGAGGTTATTGTAATTTGTAGTAAGGTATGTAAGAAGGCCCATACTCAAACAATCTGTAGAAAAACTTCCATTCAATGGTTCAATTAGATGTATTTAATATATACAATGTTGTATTGTTTTTTGAATGTATTATAGAAAAGAAAATAACTTGCTTAATGTTGATACTTTGCAGCATTAATTGAACGACTTATTTTTTATCTGGCCTCTGAAAGGGAAAACACCATTGATTTCTACACTACACGTCTATATAAACTAAGTGAAAACCTGGGGCATAATTATAAAAATAATAATAATAATAATAATAATAATAATAATAATAATAATAATAAAACCTTTATTTATAGAAGGTAACATACAAAGTTTACACAGTAAGAAGTATACTTATTTTCAGTATGGCCTTCTGATTTAACAATCACGAAGAATAAAAAGGTAGATTTATACAAAATTTAAAATCTTTTTGTATAAACAAAAAACAAACAAAACATATATATATATATTATTCTTGAATGTAAAGGTTAGATATTTTTATTTATCCATCCGACTGACACTCATATTAATTATAGTAATTGTAGATAAACTCGTAGTGATTTATAAAAAAATGGAGAATAAAGAATCATATCAGCATTTACAACAATTAAAATATAAATTGGTCTATTTTTATCATGTATCTAACTGTAGACTTAGAAAATAAATTTTACAGGTGTTTTTGAAGGATTGTAAAGTCGAACATTGTTTGATAGTAATAAGTAATTTATTCCAAACATCAAAGAAAAAGAATCCTTTAAATAATTTGTATGAGGTATACTTTTCAGAACAAGATCTTTACGCGCGATTGAGCGTAAATTGTGTAATTTATTGTGAGAAAAACTAAACTTCCACTCATATATAACGGTGCCAGATTGTTTAAAGATTTATACACCATAATTGCTGTGTGGTATTTCACTCTTAAATTGAATTTCAGCCATTTAAGTTTATTAAAAAGATCTAATGTTGGTGAACGTATTGGTCTATTAAGTATAATTTTTGCAGCTCTTTTTTGAAATGAGTTTACTTTATTGATTTATGAGTATGTGTCCTTTCCCCATACCGTACAACAATAGTCAAGCACAGGAAGGATGTACACATTGTAATATATCTTATGTTACTTCGTCAGTAAGGTAAAAAGTGATATGTTTGAAGAGAGCAATTTTTTTTATTTAGTTTTTTGCAAACAGAGTCTATTTGATAATGCCAGTTTAATATATTATCTATATAAATGCCCAATAATTTATGAATGGTAACATTTTAAAGAGTTGTATCATTTACTTTCAGTAGGAGAGGATAACATTTTTCACCTTTTTTGAGGAACCTATCATCATGCATTTTTTTTTATTGGGTGCAAAGACATATTATTAAGGATACACCAATCATTTATAAATTATCTTGTATTTCCAGTAAACAGTCACCGGATTGGTAAAGTGTAGAGTCATCCGCATGCAAGTCTATATTAAGATCATTACGGAGTAAAGATATATCATTTATATAAATCAAAAATAGTTAGGGCCCAAGAATGGATCCTTGGGGAACTCCTGATTTTACCAGTAAAATGTCCGATTTTAAATTATCTACTTGAACTGTCTGTTTTCTGTCTGATAAATAGGAACGAAAAAAAGTTACAGCTTTTTCTGAAAAATGATATAATTTAAATTTGTGTATTAAAATTTCATGATCGACAAGATCAAACGCTTTTCTTAAATCAAGGAAAATAGCACCTATCATTTTACCATTATCAATATCTTTGATCAACGCATCAATTAATCTAAGTAATGCTGTATTACAAGAATGTTTTTTTTTCGAAACCCTGATTGTCTGTCATGTATAATTTTTGTTTTTTGAAAACATGCCTGAAGATGTGACGCAATATGTCGTTCAAATATTTTTGAGATGGTGGCTAGAATTGAAATTGGGCGATAATTTTCAGAAAGTCTCTACTTTCTGATTTAAAAATAGGTAAGACACGAGCTTCCTTAAGTTTATCAGGAAAAATACCCAAGTGAATACTATTATTTAGGATAGATGTTATGCAAGGAATTATAGTATTCCCAGAACTTTTAAAAATTGCGGGGCCAATACCATCAAGGCCTGTACATTTATTTGTGTTTAATTTTGAAATAACTTTTTTACTTACATAGTCGTTATATAAGGATTATTAAATACGCGATAGCCTAGCAATGAATCCATATTTTCTTTTAAAGTGGAAAAATTGTTTACAGAAAAGGTAGTTTTGGTAATGATATTTGAAAAATTGATAAAATGTTTTAGTTCATTGATAATTTCTAATTCATTCTCAATTACTCCGTCAGGTTTTAGACGGAAGTGTTATCTGTTTAGTTTGATTGATGTTAGAAGCTTCTTTCAAGTTTTGCCAGACATATATTGAGTCCTTGTTCTCTTCAATGGCTTTATTAAAGAAATTTTTCTTAACCTTTCTAATCAACGAAGTAACTTTGTTTCTTAAAATTGTGTACTGATCAAAATATCCTTTATTATGACACTTATTGCGCAAATTTATCGTTTTTATAATTTCATCAGTAAACCAATCAGGTTGGTTCTCCCGTTTATCGCGTTTTTCTTTCACTGGGGCATGTTTTGCTAATACTTCATTTAAAACAGAGTAAAAGAAATTTAAAGCGTTATTTTGGTTTTGTAATTATTTCAGTAATATCTAAACCAGATGTTAAAAGATCACGTTGAACATTTTCTTCACAAAAAAATTTAGTCCTTCTATATTTTATCACCTTATGCAGCCCATACGCTATAATCCTTTTCATGAAATGAAAAAAAAAAATGTTTTATTTGTATTGTAAATGTATAATTGTATGTAAATGTATATATTCTGGAAATAAAAATGTTTAAAGGTTAAATACTTGACAAATTTGTTAACACTGTTTGTAATCATGTGTGCCTTCTGGATGTTAATCCGAATGTTTGTTTGTTTGTTTGTGTCATTTTACGCCTTTTTCCAACAGTATTTCAGTCATATAGGCGGGTAGTTTCCTAACCATCGTTCCTGGAGAGTTACACCAGTACTTGACTACCTTCCTCTAATCCGAATGTAACAACTTCTTGTCATATCGCGACAGCCAACCTTTTTATGCCCCCCTTCGAAGCAGAGGGGGTATATTGTTTTGCTAATGTCGGTCTGTCTGTCGGTCTGTCTGTCGGTCCGTCGGTCTGTCGGTCTGTCTGTCGGTAGACCACATGGTTTCCGCTGATTATCTTGAAAAATATTTATCACAAAGTCTTCATATTTCACACAGTGAATGGTCATAACTAGTAAATGACCCAAATGATTTTTTGGGGTCCCTGGGTTAAAAGGGGTCATGGCCCACAGGGCCTTAAATGTAAAAAAATTGGTTTGGCTGATTACCCTTAAAAGGTTTTGTTCAAAAAAGTCTTCATTTTTTCACATGTTTTTTGGCCCATTCCCTTAAAATCCCCCTTTTGGGGTTTTTGGGGGTCATTGGGTAAAAAGGGTAAAGGTAAAGGGCCAAAAAATGTCAAAAGGGTTTTTCCCTGATTATTTTAAAAAAAGTATTTATAAAAAAAAAGTCTTCACTTTTTCACTTTAGTAAATTGGTCAATACAAAAGTAAAAATAAACCCCTTTTGGGTTTTTTGGGGGTCACTAGGTCAAAGGGTCAAGGGGTCATGGGGGCCCTTTAAAATGCCCAAAATTTTCCCGCGGGATTATTTTTGAAAAATTTATTCATCAAAAATGGTTTTTAAATTTTTAAACCCCTAGTTTTTTGGGTCTTTCCCTAGTAGATGACCTCAAATTGGGATTTAGGGGTCATTTTTTTAAAGGGTCAATGTCACAGGGGGCCTTAAATGTAAAAAAGGGTTTTTCCCGTTTTTTTGGCCAAATAATTAAAAAAATTTCCCCAATGTACCCTTTTTTTGGGAAAATTTTCCTGTAAAAAAATTAACCAAAATTAGGGTAAAAGTCAATGGCTAAAAAGGGGGGAAATATTTGTCGTATAATTCTTTTAAACATTTCTTTGAAAAACGAGCAAGTAATAACAAATTTTTGCTGCGATGACTGGCTACTAATCTAAATGGTTTGAAATAAAGGGGTTAGAAATGTCACAAAAAACATTTTGACAAAATTCCACTAGAGATTTTTAAAGTTTTGGGAAAATCTTGCCTACGTTTTTTTTTGCTGGGTTTAAGGGTTTGGGCCCCCCAAAGTTTTTCCAAAAGGGATGATTTGAAAAAGGGAATGCCCGGGTTTGATTTCTATAACAAAAACAATATTACAAATAAAAGAAAAAGAGTAATGAAATTTGGGGGACATGAAACAAAAAAATTAATCTAGGAACTTTGTCCATTAAAAGGTTAATAGTTGTTTCTTTTTTTAAATTCGATAAAAAAAAAATATTTTCTTTCCCTTAAAAAAAGGAAAAATTTTGGGTTGTTTCTAAACAAAACTAGTTTGTTAAAAATTTAAAATGCCCGTTTTTTAAAATTTTATTTCACCAACGAAAAAAAAGGCGGTGAGGGCCTAGTTTTCGTTTTCCAGTA